ACTACTGGTAAATAGTTCAGCAACCTTCAAAGTTCTGCCATTTGGGGAGGATTCCCCTGAAAAAGAAAACACTCTACAAAAGTGACGTCGCAGTGAGGTCATTATAACCTAGCCATGTATATATGTTCTGCAATAGATATATATATATATACACATATAAGTATGTATCACGTAGCTTATATGTATACAATATAAACATATATAAAATATAGATATTTATACATGAATACTATGTGAATTTATATGTGTGCATATATATAGTATGTGTATGTTATTATATATATATAGCCCTATATATATATCATCTATAACTGAGGAATCACTATTTATCAGTGGCTTACACCATGGGCATATCCAAGTAGCAACAAAATAGACTGCATCGCCATCTGCTCAGTTGGCTGTGGTATCTTCTACTTCATCCCAGTTAGCAAGTGTTTTTGGGTTTTGGTATACAACATATGAATAGGGGTACCCCCATATTATCAATTTTAGTAAGATTTCTACTATAAACCATCCATTTTGGGATACCCCCATAACTATGGAAACCTCTATATAGACCTGGATTGTCATATGGTTATTACCCACTCAGCGGGATGTACCCCCCCAAGTAGCAACCTCTCCTACCAGTGAACCTACGGTTTTCCTAGCCTCGCATCTGCAATGGACTGAAGTGGTCCAACAACAACAGCGCATCTATGTCAACCATATGGGCCTTGCGCAAAAATACCGTACCCCAAAATTTGATGTTTGTTCAATCATCAGGTTTACCCATTAAAATCAAACCAATTTGGGGGTCCCAATTCCTTTCCTGGGGTCCCAATTTTGGGGTGTTGCCGCCACACATCTCACCTGAAGCGGTTTCTCAAGAACTTCGCCGACTCGCGGCGAGACATCTGGCGAAGCTGCCAGATGCTGATGGTCTCCCACAAGTTGCAAAAAAGTCACCGCCATCAACCAGCATGCTTAAAGGAACCACTTCCAACAGCAACATTGACCCCCAAGCATCACACCTCTTGGCTCAACGGCAATGATTGCAACATTGCGACTGCCATATTCATCTGTGTCCTCGGCAAAAAACGGTGACATGCAGCTCAAAGAACCAGGATATGAGCAGCAAACCCTGCAACAGCACGTGTTGCAAACAAAGACATGACATCATCAGCTCGCCGCCATCGAGCAATATCTTGGACATTTCTCAAACTGACTCAAACATGCACCTACCAGTTAAATATACACATACATACATACATACATACATACATACATACATACATACATACATATATATGTGTACATTTACATACTCATTTACTGTATATATATACATATATATATGTGTGTGTATGTATATATATGTATATGCGCAAAGTGAGTAGCCATCAACACCATGTTTAGATGCTTCAGTTTTTCCACCCTCTCTTTTTGGTGCCCGGCGGAAGGCAGATCTTTGTCGCCTATGGATTCGACAATCCAGCCATGAAGTTGGGGGATGGGCCACAAATAAAAATGTGGTAAAAATGTTTAGCAAAAATTGTATCCCATCCATTTTGAATAAAAATGTTTAGCTGGTCCCAAATGATGGGAGAACTTTAGGATCCAACTTTTTGGAAGTTGATTATGGGCCACACGGCAAGACAAACCCCTTGGCATAGTGCCGCTACGCCTTGCACAGTTGTGATAAAAAGTCCTGCAGCGAAATATCAGCGATCGAAGCAATCAGTCGAGGCTTCAGGTCACAACTGGCGATGTTTTCGAATACAATACACACTCTAAAAAATGAATTAAGATAGGCCCTGCGAGGAGTTGGAAGATTAGTGAAGCCACAGAAAATTGGTTATTTTGAGAGTCCAGGTGAATTTACCAGAGGGTACTACTAAATTGCGCCCTACCCACCCAAGCTTCGCAACCTCTCTAAAAAACGCAATGCACATAACTCTCGCATGAGCAACAACTTCAGCATACTTCACTCTCCTCGGAAAAGTTTTCTTTGAACTGTTCGATGGCATGGCAAAGCCTTGGTCGAATCGTCGAAGCTTCAAGGAAGAGCTTGCAACTGACTAAAACGCTACCTTTCGATTTGAGAATGCTAGCGAATAGGTAGTCCCTCCAAATCTGCTTTAAGAATCTTGAAGCAGGTGTGAACAACTATGTTGCTTTTGGTAGGACTCAGCTTTGCCGGACCGGGCAAAAACAGAAGTAGATAATGCAGCGTTTGATGGGATCTGGAATGAAGTCTGCATGGCGCGGATAGGAAATCTACTCATTTGCTAGGAAACCTCATTTCCACTAACAATCCTTTTATCGAAAAGGTTTCAACTTACCTTGTTCTTGTCTCAACACAGAAGAATCTTCTGAAACAAACGGCAATAAATATCTTCACCGAGCCGCAATTGACCAAACTGCTCCTGACCGAAACATGGAGTCGAAGGGAAAATCGCCAAACCGAAAAGCATGGTTTCTACATGTTTCTACTATCAAATATGGTGGTGAACCCTGCGGT